ATTGGCACAATGTTGAGTTCCTAAAATGAGGGGAGAAGTGTTCCTTCTTTTTTCTGCTTTAAATATTTTATATAATTCATCAGTTAAAATGTATTTGAGCCTGTTGTTGTCATATAGGTAGATTTTTCAAGCTAGGAATATACTTTCTTTAATAGGTGCTATCAAATTTTATATTTCCTCCAGAGTCAGTTTCATTAATTTGTCTTCCAAGGTATTTCTTAGAAGTTGTCAAATGTATTTCAAAAAAGATTTTTGTGATATGCTTTCTATATCCTTTTAAATTCTGTAAAATCTTTGTTAATGTCCTCTAAATTTTGATATTGCAATTAAAACAAAATATAATTGATATTGTGTAATAGGAAGAAAAGGTCTAAAGGAGTAGGGAAAGTGGGAGGGGTAGGGGAAAGGAAAGAACGGAAAAGAAAAATGTGAGAAAAGGAAAAAATGGATACAAAGTCTTTGCAAATAGGGAAGGGTGGAAGGGGTGAAGGGAGGGCAGGGGAAGAGGAAAAAGTAAGAACCAAGATACATCATGTAAAGATACAAGATCTCAATGATGAATGTAACTATTTTATACCTAAAATGTACCAATAAACTTAATAGAAAAGAAAAATTGAAAATAAAAAGACCAGCTTGGGTCCAGGGATTTAGCTCAGTTCTGCCACCCCCGCCTCACAAGTGCAAGGTCCTGAGTTCAATCCCTAGTACCAAAAAAAAAAAAAAGACCAGCTCAGGCTACATAGTTCAAGGCCAGCCTACACTACACAATGAGACCCGATCTCAAAATTTTTTTTAAAAAAGTATATCAAAGATGCTTATTTCTAATGTACATTCTCATTTTATTTAAGTTATTAATCCATATTTTTCATTTTGAGAAATGAGTACCATTTCAAGAAACTTGAAAATTTAGATAAGCAAAAACAGGAATCACTCAAAAATATTGTTTAATAATTTGGGGCATATTTACTGCTGAAATGCATCTTCTGTGTTTTTAACAATTATAGAATCAGACTGTACATATTTCTATAAGCCTGCTTTTCTCACTTAATATCTAAGTACCTATCTTTTATTTATTCGGTATATTAATATGCAGTGACTGATTCAACTAAATAGTTTCTTGCAGTTGTTTACATTTACAAAGTGCTTTTGTAGACACCTTCACACATTTATTTCTGAATTCAGATACAAAGATTAGTTTTTCTTTTTGTAGATTTTTGCGGTGCTGGGGCTTGAACTTGGGGCTTTAAGCATGTCTAGAAAGATTATGTAAAAACTCCTTTCTTAATAGTGAAATTTTTGTTTGTTACAGGCAATTAAATGCAAACTGGCATATATTGAACCATGTGAAAGGACTACACAGTGGTCCAAAAAAGCAAAAGAAAAATTTGAAGAAAAGACTCAAGATAAATTTTTGACATGTTCAGTTATTAGTAAGCTATTTCCATTTTTATTTTTTACATAATTGTACATAATTTTAAATAAGATTAACATGTAATATTTGTCTTTCTTAGAATATATTCATTGTATCATGAGTAGTAGTAGTAGTGAGAGTCAACATTTATTGAGAATTGAGTAAATGGGACTGTGTCTTTTGTAAGCTCTAAAGTTTGAAGTCAGCACATAAAGCAAATATTACCTTTAAAGACCAACTCACGCTTACAGGCATGGTGGTACACACCTGTAGTTCAGCTATTCAGGAGACCGAGGCAGGAGGAAAACTCAAGCCCAGAAATGAAGACCAGCCTGAACTGCATAGCAAGACCCTGTCTAAAAAATAAAAACAAAACAAGATCAAATCACCCTTTACATGTTTCCTTGAAAGCTCTGAAGCCAGGAATTAGCTTCATTTATTTGACTTTTTGCTAAGGCTCTGTCTATTTTTGGCACAATGAATGCTAAGTTTTAATTTCCAAGCAAGTAAAGGGATGTGGAGCATGACTGGTAAATACCTTATATTTGTTGTTTCTTTTTTCTTTCGTTTGGCTTGAGTGAATCCAACTGTAGGCTGTCAGCATATATTATAAGTTACTCCTTTTTTGGAACAACTGGAGTACAAAACATGGACACTAGCCCACACAACAGGTTCTGAAAATCAAAAGTTTAATGACAATCTAATCTGAAATGGCTGTATATAGGCTTTATCTCATTTATGATAAATCTTAATACATACTACTTTGAGATAGTAATATTTTGGGGCTGCTGCCCCAAAGTTCACTGAAGATAATATAGAATGCAGCATATGTACTGTGTAGTTTTTATCAGTTATGAAACACATCTTGCCCCAAGAGTTTTGGATAGGAGGATTTGGAATCTTGTTTTTGTTTTACATTGAGTATTTTGATCTGTTCTAAAACTACAGAAGCTTCTCGGCCTTTGGCTAAGATCAAGTGTAAAACTACAACAGACATGGGCTGTGTTGAGTTCAGTGAGTCCTAGTGCATGACACACAACAGCCTGTTTACTTAGGATTGATGTATAGCACTTTCAGGGGTAGTTTTACAATTCTCATTTTACATTTTTATCACAATACATTAAGTGAACTCAAATGTAAGACAATTATTCTGTTTACAGTGAGGAAACTGAAGCTCAGAGATGAACTGCTGAAAGTTGCATAATTTAGAATTGATGAGATATCTAGTAATTTATTCACTTCAATACAAAAAATTGTTCAAAAGAAATAGATGGAGAATATTATTATAGAAAACACACTTAGTCTATGGAATTTTTATCTTGCTTCTCTGAAATACACAATAGAGATTTCTTAATCCTTGAACAGCCACCACTAATTTTGAGCTGACTTAAATAACTACTATACTTCCTGACTTCCTTTTGGCATTGTGTTCTGTTGGTTTTTAGCTCCCTCCTTGAATGTCTTCTCACAGATAACACATCAAGACACGATTCCCCAAGTTTTTCTTGATGATTCTCCTTTATTTCTTACTTGTTATACCAGTGGCATCTGACCCTAGTACCATAATTACTAGCCTAGATCATTTAAGGGGAGCCAGAAAGTTCTCTGACCCAAAGTATCTTTCCTCATTCCCCTGCACAGTGATTAAAAAGACATTTGTAATAAAGTGATGAAATGAAAATGGAGCCTTCCAGGGCCAGGGATTTAGCTCAGTGGTGCCATGCCTGCCTCGCAAGTGCAAGGTCCTGAGTTCGATCCCTAGTACCAAAAAAAAAAAAAGAGAGAAATTGGAACCTTCCATTAATATATATTGTCACCTTACAAAGCAAGGGATCAATTTAATTAGGAAGAAAGCAAGGAAATGTCAAAGGTACAGAACCCAGAAAGTTGCCCCTATCAGAAAAAGAATTTCACCCATGAGAATTATGAAGCTAGAGAACTAAAGGGGATACAGGAGGATAGAAATTTATTGCAGCACACTATTGCTTAACATTTTGCTTCTAAATAGTTCATCTGGGACATTAAAAGTAGCCAAGAATGATTTTTTAACTCTTGAAGAAAGCTTTCTAATATGTACCCCTATAACTAGATGATGTATGTTGTTAGTGCTGGCAGTGGTTATCGTTTTATTTGGGAACTATCATTCTGACTATGAGCTACCAAATACTGTAGTATAAAAGTTGTTAGATGTATAATCTCAGTGAATAGGGATATGTGTTTCCTAAAGAAATTCCCAGGCTGGGGATTTAGCTCAGTGGTTTCGCCGCCTGCTGCACAAGCTCAAGGTCCTGAGTTCAATCCCTGGTACCAAAAAAAGAAAAAAAAAATTCCCCTACAGCACTTATTTATTTAGATACTTGAGCAGGTTTTCTTTGTTGAGTACCATAAATAATAGGCACATGAGATGTAAGTTCTACTCTAATCTCTGAGTCTCCGAGTTTAAGAAATAGATCCCATTGACAAGTAACCACTTTTCGTTTTTTAAAAGAAACATTAAATGGTTTGTACTTTTTTAAAGGGACAGAGAAAAACTGCAGTGAATTAAGAGTTCTAGATTGAATTTTTGTTTTAACATTTGTACCATACTTTAAAAAACTGTAGACCTTATCTGGGCCTGGTAGCTTTCATAGTAGGAAAGCTATGAATTTGAGACCAGCCTCAGCAACCTAGTGAGAACTTGCTCTAAAACAAATTCCATGTGATAACCCAGAAAAAAGCAGGGGTATCTATTCTATTTGCAGACAATGTCAACTTCAAGCCAAGACTGATCAAAAGAGACAAAGAATGTCACTACATACTTGTTAAGGGAAAACTACAAGAAGAAGAGATAACAATCATAAGTATATATGCACCAAATATCACTGTACCCAACTATATTAAATATTAACAGACATGAGAGATCTAATAAGCACTAACACAGTTGTAATGGGGGACCTTAATACCTCACTGTCACAAATAGATCAACTAGACAGAAAATCAGCAAATATCAGAATTGAACCAAACTTGTGAACATATAGACTTAGTAGTATGATGTCTACAGAGTGTTCCACCCTAAATCATCAGAATATACATTCTTATCAGCAGCACATGGGACATTCCTCAAAATAGGCCACATCTTAGCCCATAGAACATACTAAGGTAAATGCAAACAAATTGAAATTATCCCATGCATATTATCTGACCATAGTACAATGAAAAATGGAAATCAGTGGCAAAACCACAAAAACTCTGTAAACACATGGAAATTAAATAATACCCTCCTGAACAAGCAATGGGTCACAGGTGGAATTAAAGAAGATATTAAACAGTATCTACAATTAAATGATAATGCCGACATTGACACTACATACTGCAACTTTTGGGACACAATGAAAGGAGTCCTATGAGAAATTTGTAGACGTGAACCCTCACATGAGTACAAATAACCTAATGTTGAAGCTCAGGCTTCTAGAAAAAGAACAATTCAAGCCCCAAGCTTGTACAAGAGAGGAAATTATAAAGATTAGAGCAGAAATTAATACAATTGAAACTAAGAAAACAGTACAAAGAATCAATGAATCAAAGAGTTGCTTCTTTGAAAGATTAAAGTTAATAAACCCTTACCCAACCTTATCAAAAAAAGGAAAAGACTCAGATTCATGTAATTAGGGATGGAAAGGGTAAAAATCACAATGGATCCTGTAGAAATCCAGAAGATCATCAATACCTACTTCGAGAACCTGTACTCTAATAAAATGGAAGACACAGAAAGGGACAGATTCCTAGATACATAGGAATTACCAAAGCTGAATCAAGAAGATATTAAAATTCTAACCCAATATCAGTCATTGAAATTGAAAATATAATTAAAAACTTACGAAAAAGAAACGTTCAGGTCTTAATGGTTTCACTGCTGAATTCTACAAGGAATTTAGAGAAGATCTAATGCCACTACTTCAGTAAAAAACTCTTCAGTAAAATTGAAAGGAAATCAATGCTCCCAGAATCATTCCTGGAAGCAAGTAATACCCTGATCCCAAAACCAGAGAAGGACTCAACCAAAAAAGAAAACTATAGGCCAATTTTTTTAATAAACATAGACGAAAAAATCCTCAATAAGATACTGGCAAACAAGGCAGCAAATCACCAAAAAAGATTATACACCATGACTAAGTAGGATTCATCCCAGGGATGCAGGGATCGTTCGATATATGCAAATCAATAAATGCGATACATTATATCAAGAGAGCCAAAGACAGAAATCACAATCATCTCAATAGACCCAGAAAAAAACATTTGACAAAGTCCAACACCGATTCATGATTTAAAACCCTACGGAAAAATAGAATAGTCTCTAATCAATCTGATAAAAGCCATCTCTGACAAACCAACAGCCAACATCATATTAAATGGACAAAAACTGAAAGCTTTCATTCCAAAATCAGGACAAGGATGTCCACTGTCACCACTCTTGTTCAATATAGTTCTGAAAACACTAGTCAGAGCAGTTAGACAAGACACATAAAAGGAGTAAGGATAGGAAAGGAAGAAGTTAAATTATCATTATCTGCAGATGACATGACTCTCTACGTGGAAAACCCCAAAAACTCCTCCAAAAGACTTCTAGATTTAATAACTAAATTCAGTAGAGTAGCTGGATACAAAATCAACACTCAGAAATCAATATCATTCCTGTATATGAATAACAAAGTCACTGAGAGAGAAATTAGAGAAACAGTACCTTTCAAAATAACATCCAGAAACATGAAATACTTAGGAATTAATCTCACAAAGGAAGTAAAACATCTTTACACTGAAAATTACAGTACTCTGAAAAAGAGATCGAAAAAGATATCAAAATGCAAAGCTATCACTTGCTCATGGGTAGGAGGAACCAACATAGTGAAAATGGCCATACTCCCAAAACTGTTACACAGATTTAATCCAGTCCCAATTAAAACACCATTAGCATACCTCAAAGAACAGAAATCATTCCTAAAATTCATTTGGAACCAGAAGAAACCTAGTATAGCAAAAGCA